CACCATGGTCTTCACCACGGGCTGCAGGGGAATCTCTGCTCCGGCACCTGGAGCACCTCCTCCCCCTCCTTCTTCCCTGACCTTGGTGTCTGCAGAGTTGTTTCTCTCGCATATTCTCACTCCTTTCTCCGGCTGCTGTTGTGCAATTGTTTCTTCCCCTTCTTAAATCTATTATCCCAGAAGCACTACCACTGTCGCTGATGGGCTCAGCCTTGCCAGCAGCGGGGCTCTCGCCAGCAGCGGGTCCGTCTTGGAACTGGCTGGCACTGGCTCTATCCGACATAGGGGAAGCTTCTGGCAGCTTCTCAAAGAAGCCACCCCTGTAGCCCCCGCCGCTACCAAAACCTGGCCACGCAAACCCAATACACTGAGAAAGAAAGAATGGGCAAAATCTGACAGGGCAGTTTCCGTAGCAAAAAGAACGGTGAGAGTAACAGTAAGTCAGACACTGAATACGGCAGTGTGTTACGGCTGCAAAGAGACGTGGGCGCCAGTCCCCAGTGTGATAGGAGTGCTGTACGTAAACTATGAAAGCTAATAATTTTCTCTTTTCAACACCTGTGAATAGCTGGAGCGTTACACGCAGTGCTGGTAGGCATCATTTACTCCATTCTGCCTCCGGCGCTTCCCAGCCTTGTCTCATCCAGGCATTTTATATGTGTTCAATAGAGACCCACCGTCCAAATTGTAAATAAAGATATTGAGTTGAATGAGTTACGCAGCACATTGAAATGAGCCCATCTGTTACTGTGAGAGTCTTGGACATGATTTAAATTGACTGTAACATCCCATTAACATACAAATAACAGGCTAGATTCACCGGTACATTCCAGCTGCTCTGTAATGTTCTGGCTTCATAGGTTGGTTAAGATAGATTTATGGAGAGCTGTGCAATGCAGCCAGACCAGTGAATCTGATCCAGCAGTAACCAGGGAGGAAGCCTGGGGAGGGCCAGTGCTCGACGAGGTATGAGGAGCAATCTGCCTATCCCCAGCTTGATTTGTCAACTTTGGCAGCAAGCTTGTATCGGAGCTTCTGGTTCCTGGGACATCTGACTGAGCACGGCATCTCAAATGGTGCTCTGATTGCAGCGGAATCCATGAAATAAGGCAAATTGGTTTGAATCTGTATCAGCAAGCCGTATGAGCAAATACAAACATTATTCTTTCTTTGATCCACTTAAAGCTTGCTCAGCAGAGGTTGTAACATATTTTGACCAGACAGCAAAATTATTGCTGAAATGACAAGTCTTCCATGAAAATGCACTCTAAATATACTGTAGCTTACCTGTGATAGAGAATGTATTCCATCCACTGGGAGGTGAAAGCCCATCCCTATGGATTTGATAATTACCAGAATATTTGATAGATTTTCCCTGTTTGGCAAACAAACAAAAAAAAAGGATACACATTTTACTTAACAGACACATCAAAAGACACTTCATTTTTATTTTTGCAAAGTCAGTTAAGTGTACACCCATGAGAAAACAAATGCAATTTTTGTATTTAAAATTTTTGATTAGGTTGTTTCTCATAATTTATCATATCAAGACTTGGAATAACACCAAGCACATAACATTACCTGTTCAACACCTTTTGGATAATCTGCAGGTGATTGGAATTAAGCCACTGAACGCCACCCACAATTAATACGGTCTGGTCTGTATTCTCCAGGGGACGTGATCTGAAACCCAGAAAGGAAAAACAACACATGTCGCCTTAAAACAGATGGCAAACATTTTAACTGCATTGCATTGCATTTCAGTGAACTGTATCTGGCATCCTGATCAGAGGCCTGATGTCATTTTCTACTATTTTTCAACCACACAATACGGTCTGCACACGTTATGTTTAATTGTTTACTGACGTTAATTGTAAAATGTGTTAAACACTTTTGTGAATAGAAGGAGAATACAAACAAGCCAGCAATAGAGTTTGTACGGTACCTCTGCAGCAGTTGTTCTAGTGCTTTTTCAAAAGTTGGTCTCTGGTTTGTGTTCATCCAAAACTGGGGGTAGTAGGAGTAACTGATAAAGGTTTTCCCCTCATTGATATTATGATAACATTTAACATCATGAGTCTTTTGCCATTCCTGAAGAGTCTTATTCGCTCTTTCTATTAGATAATACATCATCCCTCTGTTAGTTGAGTCACCTATAAAAAGAATCTTTGGATGGAAAAAAAGATATGACTTACTTAGGAGTTGTACATTCCAAAAACCAAAAGCTAAGAAGAGAATATAGCTAGTCTGGAGGTTTTTAAACACTTCTTATAACGTTCAAGAAATGTATCTGTGAGCTGCCAGTTCTCCAGCCCTGACATCTCAATACTGAAGTTCTCCTTTAGCAAAATCTGTGTGATCTGATTAACAGAAAGCTATATTATGTATTTCAAAGATAAAAAATACAGGTTATAGATGGCTATAGCTGCACAGTTAGCCCTGCATTTTTCATTCTTGTTGATCATTTCTTTTGCTTAAGTTTATATTTACTTCCAATTGCTAGTACAGAGCCTCTCCTGATTTCTTGCAGCTTCCTGCTTTCGTTCCTCCAGTTTTTCATGTGGTTTGTTCCTACACAGCACGTCTTGGATAATGTCTGTCCTCCATAGATGTGATTCATTAAAATTTACACCAAAGAAAGACACACACAGACATCAATGGATGCAGCTGCTGCATTATTTGTAGAGAGATGGTCTTTCCGCAATTTCAGAGGGGGGGGGAAAAGGGGCTTATTTTGGTGGCAGATAATCTGAATAGAGTCCTGGCATGTGTGATGTGACCACCAGGAAGCATTGTGGCCTGAAGGCAGCTAGAAGTGCTGTCAGGATGACAGAAGATACTTCAAGTATCAGCAGTCTTTCCTGGGCTACTCTGAACTTGCAAAAAGTCACATTTGGGCTTGCTCCTACCCATTCTGCAGACTCCCCTGACAAATCAAACATCTCTGTATGTGGAGACCACAGAACTTAACGTGTGGGTTTTTTTAATGTAATTGCCTTATTTTTAGTGGATAGGAATTTCCTCCCTTTCTGCTGAAGAGAACATGTAAGCAATGACAAGAGTCCAAAGGGGAAGAGAACCCAAGTTCACTGTGGTTTGCCAATGAAACTGTGTGCGTAATCAGTTATTACCACAGTCACCTCAGCCAGAAATCCACATAGAGGAGCATAAACGTAAAAATGGGAGTTAGAAACCCCATAGAGCAATAACACAGTAACAGCCCTGTTCTCTGCACAGCAGCATGCTGCTTCTCCTACCTCCTCCGGCACTCAGGGTAGTTGGCACCCTCTAAGTTGGGTTTTTGTTGTTTGTTTTTTTAATTTGATTTGGGGTTTGATGCTTTACCACTTCCACCTTGAATATTTGGTTATGCAAATAAAATTCAGACTGCATAAGGTTACATGTTCAAGAATACATTTCCAAAGCTTCTCTTAGAGATTTTATGTGGTGAAAGCATCTTGGACTTCTCTCATCTAATACATCTCTATTTATCTATTCCCTTCAGGAATGTCACAGCTTTAGGGACTGATTCCAGTTCCCACTATGAACCTATTGTGAGTAAAAATAAGCCACAAGAGTGTACCAATGACGGTTCCCACAGAACAAAAGCAGCTTCAGATGAACATTCCCTGATCTGGTGCAAGGGCCAAGAATAGGCATGAAGATGACTTGAACATCCCATGCCTTGCCCATTGCGGGCTGCAGAGAAGCCCTTGATAGATTAGGTATGGTAGCAAACAAATGAAAACAAGCACTGAGCATATAAAGCCTCTTTTACCTCCTGTCCTGGACCTCTCAAAGCTGCTTCAAAGTAAATTCTTAAACTGTTCATGCTTGGACTGCACAAGCACCTCCCTCACCTGCAAGGGAATTTCCAACTCTTTTCACATTGTGTCAGAAGAAACCTCTTTAAACCAAGCACAACATGACTCACAGAAGTCAAGGATCCTTGGATCCTTAGAACGACTGGTTGGATGTTCTCTCTTCCCCTCTCTGCCAGCCACAAACATGCACACAAATATTTACAATTAGGAAGACAGTCCACGCTTACAATATGTCCTAATCCTAAAGTAGGTTAACTTGAGGTTTTAAACAATTCTTTTAACTTGCAAAATCTCTTAATGTCTCCAGTCTGTCTATATCCATGTCTCTTTAATCTCCATTTCATAAGTCCATCACTGTAGTATCTAGATGTATATCTATTTAAAAAGCAGTTCTCAGATATTAGAAGGCAAGGATATCATTAGCTTGCAATGTGGGTGAGAACATTTCTGTAAAAACACAGAACATCATTGGCAGAATAACAAACAGGCTGTACTAGGTTACACACATAGAGCAGTTGGTAGAACATGCTAGACTGTTTCTCTTCTACTTCTAATAACATATGATACCATTTTGTTATCACTGCACATGGGGATTTCTAATTGTGAAGGAGCATATTCAGCTATTAATTACACTGATTTGGCAGATGTGGCATTTTTATCTCACTCTTCATTCGACTAAGATTCTGACAGATATTTTCTCCTTCTAACTGTATTTGGTCTACTCACATCTATCACTGAATTCAAATAGCAGAACAACACCCTTCAGGGAAAAAAAGGAGAGAAGAATCTTGGCCAAGGCCAATGAACATGATGCACAGATGTCTAGTTTTGCCAACACTGTGTATTCTCTAGCAATTTAAGTGTGAAGTGTCATTCTAAATATTTCCAACATCTCAAACACTGCAGAGCATCAAAGACTGAGATCGACTCATCAGCCTCTTTCCCATTTTTTCGTTATGTCAAAACCAGAGCAACCCCCCCGCCCCAACACACACTCACTCAATTTACACTATTAAATACTTTAGCACTATAGGGCTTTACAATTTATACATGCACACACACATAAGCAGTGGATCCATGAGTGAGTTTTCAAGTCTGCCCTGAGGTACCTAGCTGGCCAGGTCTGCAGATAGGACAGCACACTCCTTTAGAAAACCAATACCAGGAGAGACAAGCTAGATAAGATCATTTCTTAAAGTGACAGTTCTAGCCCTTAAGTGCCATTACGCTGGGCACCATATGAAAATACCAGATGAGCCTTGGAATAGTATTATTGTTGTTGTCCCGATGTTCTGAGAAAATGAAGGGGGTGACAGGAGTCAGAGCAGATTCCTTTAGAGCAGTCAGTATAACTGGACAAAATAAATAACTGTTAGGGCCCAGGTACGCTTCTTCAAATATCACAAGGCTGACAAGACTGCACTCCGCCCATCTCTGAAGCAGTAAGTTCTGAGTCTCAGAACATCTCCATTTTCACTCTTAAGTGAGCTTGTTACGAGGAGATAAGGCAGAAGGTCAGGAAATTAGATCAGACAGCTAATGCTATTGAGTGTCTGGCTGTCCATCTGGGAATGTATACTTATTCCTAGGAGAAGGTGTGGCAGAGCAGGATGAGTCAGGAATGAGACAGATGGCAACATCATACTGGTGAGGAATACAGGTTGTTTCACTAGGGAAATTAACCTGAACACTCAGAAACAAGTCTGCTAAGAGAATAGTTAAGACTTGATATAAGTGGGGAAGAGAGAAATGAGCCAAAGTGGACTTGTGGTTGTACAGAAAACCAGATCAGACGTGTAGGTTATCCTCAAAGATGTCAGTCAATTATAACAACCATATTAGCTTTCAGTCAAGACGTCTTTGACTGTTCAAGCAGGTATGAGCCATACCAGGACTCTACCACTGGAATCATGTAAATCTGTTTAACTCCAGCTACTTCTTTCACAGTGAAATCACAGCATTGTTGAAAGATATGTCATTAAAACTAGGACTGCAGAGTGTGAAACCTATGGTCCCTGCCCTCTAACCCTGATGGAGACCTCTGAAGTCTGTTTGCAGTCATCATGGGAGGGTATCAGCAGTCACGCTATGGAAACTGCACGTGCTGGGATTTTGAAGGGAATGCTCTCCCATAGGTAGAGAGAAGATCTCAGAAAGATGGGTGTGCATTCCTGTAACCCAATGCATCCCAGGCTGGTGGATGCATAGCACAGCCGATTTGCACACACAGAGCACCCATTCATCAAGACCTTGTCTGCATCCAACAATCTGCTTCCAACTATTGGTCCAACCATACTGTCAGACATGTGTAAATCCTGGAAAAATAAACAAATTCTTCTTTTTCTTCTCCCTAAAAAAAAATCCAGGTGGAAGAAGAGGACATTTGTAGGTAATCGTACCTGCTTTTCAAACTGCCTTTGTGCAGAGCTGGCCAAGCACATTTTCTTGTGGTATGCAGACCAGCAGGAAGCATCTTTCAAAGCATCCACCTTTTGCAAGTCAGCTTCATTTTCAGCAAATTCTTGGAAGACTCAAAGGCTAAAATAAGTGGTGTTTAGCCCCAGGAAGAAAACTTATGTCCTTCAACTAACCCAAGAGCTTCGATGAATTAGAATAATCATTCGCTGTAATTCAATGTCTAGCTACGGCCACATTTATTTCTACACAGTTGCATGAACTTACTATAGTTGTGCATGCCGTGTAGTATTTAATATGATTTGAACCAGGGGCTCTGGGGATGATTCTGTATTTAGCTCTATGACAATAAGGAGCAAAATGATGGCTCAGGTGTGCAGAATATGAAAATTTCTTTACGGTCTGGCACAAGGCTTAGTCATGTACTGTTCAGGTCAATGGGGGATTTGTCTGCAGGATGACTAAAGGATCAGGCATACATAAGTCTATAATTTTACCAGACAAAGAACAACACTTTCATGCAGACAGATGTTTTCAGTGTCTTCTGTTGCAAATGTTTGGTGTGAAAAATTCTATTATAGCTTACAGGCTTTAAAAGATTGTGTAAGCATAGTGGAATTCACTTCTTAACCAGACCTATCATTATAAATTAACCACACTTAGGAAATTTAAACACCTGTAAGTCCAAAACACTACTTAACTTTAAAATATTATTAAGAAATTATAAGTTAAAATTCCTGTTTTAACAGCTGAATTTTAAGTACTTCAGCAAATATTGCCTTTTCATATTTCCTGTTCTTAATTACACATGACTCAATGGTACTTTATTATAAGACTAAACTCTGAGTAGTATTTCTCAATGATAAACAAAATACATATCCCCCCTGCTATTGAGGCTAGCTTTCTATATGCTGCTAATTGGATAAATAATTACCCGTTAGAACCCCTTTTCCTTCACCCATTTTTTAAAGTTCTTGTACAAAAATCAAAGTATCATGTCTTAATAGAATTGTATAAATCTTACAGCAAAAACTCATTAACCACAGTTACAGAGGATTTTGTTGAGCCAATATAATACAGATATAATATTTTTATTATGATTGCTTATTTCTTTGATTCAATTAGGACATACATGTGGAGTTCCCTAAGAACAACACAGCCTGCATCGCGTTACCCTTTGTTAGAGTTTAAAATGGAGGAGAAAAAGGACTGCAGATATTAAAAGTGGACTGAATGAAAATCTACTCAGCCAGAATCACCTTAGCCTCAACACTTCAAAATTTACCTGTTTACTGTGTCTGAAATGCAAACATATGACTGACTAGTCTTTCTAACACATCATAAAGCAAAATAAGGCCTCATAAACTGTTTTTGTGGATGTATATCCTTTCTCATGTCTCCACCAATCTGTTATTGTTTCACTACAGGTGGTCTTATATTTTTATGAGACAGAAATAACTTAGCTCAAACACAGTTTTATATGCACACAAATTAAAATAGCAGTTAATGATGATGTGAAATCAATTGGAAGTCATAGTCAGGGAAAATGAATTTCTGTTATAGAGAAAGAAAATTATAATTTCAGAGATGAGCTCTGAAAAACAAATCAATTTTAATATAAGACATGAAAGCAGCCTGGAGATAGAAAACAAATTAGAAAGCATTTTTGAAGGCTTATTTATGATGCAGATAGGAAAGAAGTGCTGTGTTTGGGTGACCACAAAAATATTTCAGAAACATTGACAAATACATAAAAGAAATTAATGAGCAAGAGACATACCCGAATGCTGCGTTTTACTGTTCTATGAAACATGAGAAAAACAGAATGATTGCACTTAAAGATACAATTGATCTTATATGTGCTGCATTTCAGCCAAAAAGAGCATTCACTTTATATCTTATTTCATTAGTTGCTGAAGCGCACCCAGATCAGGGACACAGCACAGCAGTGGTTAACTCATTGCATGCTTCCCTTCACATTCATTAAAAGTAGAAAGACAAATAGGCTTTTTTTCTTTTTTTTTTTTTCATATAAAACTAATAAAGGAGCATAAAAAAACAGCCTGCAGTTATCATAGTTGGAATTTGACAGAGGCATAGAGATTAATACCTATTTAAAAGAAAAAACATAATCACAGACACTTATGTTGTTTATAATGTCTTATCATGATGTTTTTAATTGTAAGAAGTAAAGCCAGCGGATCAGAATGCTGAAATCAAATTATATTTTTTCCAGGACAAAATCAGACACTTCAGCCTAGTGAATCAAAAATGTTGCTACTTGCTTTACCTGTGATTCCTGGTAAAATCTTGCATGACTCTGAATTTTTTTATGCAGGTATTCAGAAGTGAAGTTCGGTCATAGAGGGCTGTTAGTGTTTTGATGGAAAGTATGATGTCATTTGACCCAAAGATGCTACAGACATACAAGTGTCTGCTTTCCTGAGGAAGGATTGGTAATTATGTGGGGTGTATGGAGGTTTTATTGCCTTAGTTCAGAATAAACTTTGAGCAAGACTTCAAATGTAGATCATGATACATGACTCCTCCTTTGTAAAGGATTTTGAACTCCTGAGACCGAAGTTACACGAGCTGAATATTCACAGTGTGGTGGCATACTAAAAAACCCCAGAATACAGAGGCACACAGGTTAGTTGAGCCCATTTTAAGAAGCGGACACATGAGTGAGTTCTATTGTTCTTAGCTAACTTCAGCAAATGACAATATAAATCGAACAGCATTCTAGATCATCTCAGTGTCCTCACTTGGGTTGATAATTTTTGCCCTTATGTTTTGCACTCATGCTTTTTTTGCAATCCACTTACATTTCCAGTGTTGAAACATTCTGCTGATTTTATTATGGAAACTATGATGTCATTAGTTTGAGAAGTCAGTGATCTCTGTAGCGCTTAAAGACAACGTATATAATGGTTTGAAACTAATATCACAAATTAGGAAATATAAATATTTATAGATGGTTACCAAAATCTCTTGTGTAATAAAAATATATTTGTTCACAAGAATTATATCTTGCTGGCTACTCAATAGCTCCCTTATGAAAGATCCAGGTTGCTTAAATGTATATAATAGCATACAATACAACTGACAGGCAAAAGTCTCTTTCAGTGAGCACCTGAAAAAAAAACTTTTTCTACTACATTGCTTAGACTGTGTAAAGTAATTCTCAAGTTTGCCTTAATCACAGGCAGAATCAGGACCTTACCACCCAAGCAGAGGACAATTTTTACTCATCTGACCTAGGTCTGAAGAAAGTGTCTCTTAGTTCTTCAGTTCTACTGACACGAGGGAGTTGGTCCAGGCTCTACATTTATTTGTTTGGTGAAAGGAGCAAAAATGCTGTTGCAAAATGCCACACAAAGTTAAAACCACTGCAAAGCAACGAGAAAAATAACATCAGAGGGAAAGATATAGGAGAAATATACCAAGAGGGGAACATGCGTTAGTGATGACTTTAAAAGAATAAACCAGTTAAATGGACATCTGTGCAAAGGTAACAGGAATGATTCACCAGATTTCTACAGAACAGTGAAGGTTATCAGACAATGACAGAAGACATCTGCAAAAGATGCAGGATGGGAGACAAGTGCAAGTCATTTAACAGAAATTTTTCTCGCATGGTGTTGATGTAGATCACATAGGACCTGGCTCTCATCTGACACTACAACAGATTAGTGACCTCAGAGAGTCAGAATAGTGGAATTTGAATTAAGAAATCAAGGTCACAAACACTCGTTTCATATACTTGGTTTTAATGGACCCTTAACAAACGTTGTCCTCTTTTTGACACTGGTGAATGTGAGTGGTCGGATTCAGGAGGCGGGAATGTCAGCATAATCCTCCCAGCAATACCCTGGCAATCCACATCCATAGTGGCATATTGTTCCTCTGCTATCCTTCAATTGTCTGACCAAAGGGTGTTTGCTTATTGAACTAGCCCAATGTGTATGGAAATTAAAGACCAAAGCAAAGCTATCAAATCCTTCTATATTTTTTGCTGTGGTCAATCCAGAAGTGCTTGTTTTGTACATGAGGAGCAAATCAAGCTTCTCCTCTGTCATATAAACCTGTTTTTTAGAAAAATATGTTAGGAGAAACCCACAGCTCTATAGTAATGGAGAAAACCACAGGCAGAACTAAAGCCAAATGGTAATGAAGGACTTTGTGCAGGACAAGAAATGACCAGAAAAGAAGGAGGAAATGTTAACTGAAAGACTATTGGTTTTGTATTTGTCTATGTAGAAATGCTCTGGGATTTTATCAAAATGCCACTTTTAGTTACTATTTTCTTACCTAGACAATACGCTATAAAAATCTTTGTAACAATTACTTACTTACTTTCTGGATACTTGTATCCTCAGTAAGGTACCTGAGCCTCAGATCAGAGCTCTCTCTCAACAGTTTTACAGTCATAGCATGCTTATTAAGGAGACCTTGTATTTCCAAGCAATCACCTTAGAAGCTTCACTACAAGAAAAGAATGTGCAAGAAGACTTGGTAAGATTAGCGTGCACAAGCAATGCCATGCATTAGGTATGCAGCAGAAGAAACCCAACTTAAACGTCAAGTGTGAGACAAACTGACAACAATGCAAACCCATCCTCCATTTACAGTCCTTACATACTTACTGCAGGTCTAACTGATAACCACGTACACCGTAGGTCTTGAAACTCCACTGGTGTGACCTAAGATCCTATGCGAAATGGCAGCAGACAACTGTGTCTGCATATAAGGCTAAATTATGGATAATAGTGGGTTTTCATCCCTGTGGATTTTCCACCCGAATCTTTTTCCAGTTATAATGAAAAGGGATTTTTCTTACAGATCACAAAATTGTTTTTAAAGCTTCAGGACACTAAATATCCAGGCAAATAAAAACGAATTAAAATGTAAAATCTGTTACATACTCTTCTGCCCTCCACACAGCGCTGGAGCTCGGGCTTGGCTAGCACAGAGTATCGGCAGCCATGGGGCTGCCACATTATCTCTCTCCAGTCGCAGGTCCTGTTGTCAGAGCAGCTGAGGCAAGGAACAATCCACTGCCCTGGAAAACAGTAACGGGATGTCAGCATCTCCTCTGTATTTTTGTGAGTAGCCTTATTCTACAGCAAGCTAGATATTTTTGAGTATTTTGCCATGGGAGTTTTCCTTAGATTAAATGCCCCCCAACCCTTTGAAGAGACCATTTCCTTCCTGTGTGTTATGCCCTTTTCATTTAGCAAGGATGGGAGTTTTTCCTTTCCATGAAAGAGCTGCGAATGCTCAAATTTGACAGTCGTGTGTGGGTTCATTTCTCAGTTCACGTTGTCTTTCTTGTAGCAGCTTGTCCTTTCTCCACAGAAGGTATACGAGAAAGGGAAAGGGGGTGAGGAGGCTGAATGGGAAGAGAAAATATTCACATTCAGAAGTGTCTAAAGGCAAGATTCATTCTCATCTACCATTAAACCTCTAAAAGTTGGGTGGTTGATCAAAGCTAGATTTTGAGAGGCCTTTGACAGAAAAATGAATCTAAGATTATACAGATAATGTACAGATAATGAGAGGATGATTTTCCTCAGAAATACTAATTTCTTTAATTTGTGAGAGTTCAGAGAACCATCCCAGACTACACATATACATTTCAGAAGGTGAAAGTAAGGTGAGATGAATAACCTATTTATTAGTGATTTATTAGAGCCTGATCCTTATTTTCAAAAATGATTTTACAGATTAGGAGCATAAAGTGGGATTACAAAAATTCAGTGGCTTTTAGGCATCTCTTACCTAAGGTTGAATGGTTTTGTTATTTTGGTTCTCTAAAGCTATTAATTTCCAAAATCCTACTGGAAGTCAGAGGTATTTAGCATTTGAAGGAAGACAGAAAACTTTCGAGTTGCCTTTATATTCAGATCAACACAAGAAACACTTTTCTCACCCATACAAGAGCACCATCCTGACAACATCTCCCAGTGTCTATGTAGCTCTGCCAGCAAAACCTGCTTTTGCCTCTGATTCAAGGCGTTACACAAGGAAAAGTGCAGGCCCCCAGGTCCTTGTGTCAATGCCATGAGGCCTTGCTAGCACAGCTGGGTTTCTCATTGTAGCCCAGCAAACGGCTCCAAAAGCAGATCTTTGCAGAGTAGACCTGGCCTTGGAGTTTGTGACCGTCACTGCTACCAGGCAGCAGCTCAGCAGCCAGCCAGCTGTGCTTGGCTGTGTGTGATAGATTGCTGCGACACAAGAAGCCACAGCAAAAAACCAAGGCTGCTGCCTATCAACATTTATCAGGCCAGGGACCGAGTGGGAGGCTGAGTGAAGCAACCCTGCAGGATCCCAGCGGCCTTGGGAGAGACAGCTGCTACCTCAGGAGCCAGGGAATTTCCAGGGAGGCAGCCTGCGCTTGCACTGAGCAAAAGTCCCAAGCGAGTATATTTTGGTAAGTAGCAGGGTGCGTTGTCTTAGCAGATAAAAGAGTCCTTCTAAATAAAACCATCAAGAATTGTTTGTATGGGAGCCCTCACTGGTACAGCTAAGGGCGGAATATATCCCGCAGTGCTACGACCATGCAGCTCCAGCTGCTGTGTAGCCTGCACCGCTGCCGCTACTTCTGCCCTCTGCAGAACCCGCTCACCCCACCCTCGCTACACTTGCAGATGATGTGGAGCAAACAATGGCAGACTGGCACTAAACAAAAGCCTGGATGCTGACTTTACCACGCTGTGGATCAGTGGGCACAGCTCAGCTCCCCTGGTTCCCACGGGTGCCTCCTGAGGGCTGCCACCGGGCAAGCAGCCCAGCTCAGCACGGTGTGAGGAGAGGAAGGAAGGATGCTCAGGCTTGTGCTGCTAGGGCAAGCGGGGAGATGGAGCTGCCCAGTGCTCCTTGCTCAAGAGGAGTTCCAAACTTGCATCACCTGTGTCCTAATCACCTGGCTGTTTGTCCTTAAGGATAACATTTCCCCACTCTTCTCGTCAGCTGAGGACTGCTTTAAAGTTCAAAATTCATTGAGGTGGGAAAATAGCATGATTGTAACCTGGTAATTTATTTGGAAGAAAAGAGATCCGAACTTTGGTCCCTGGGTGAGATTCTACATAGACTTTTTATCTAGAAGTTAAAGTGAATCTTTATCTAAAGGTACAAAGTGGATAACCAGGTTCTGGAGCAGGGAGTGCTCTTCCAGCCCTCAGCTGGGAAACTGAGGGCTGAATTTACACGATTCCTCTTTCTTGCAGCCTCCAGTGCTGACCATTGTGAATCCCTTCCTCACGCTGGCCCTCCCTCAGCTTTGAGGTCTCTCGCTCCAGACTGTGGCCTCCTGGCCACCACTGGGGCCAGGCATGCTTCGACACTCCAAGATTTCTATCGCCACTTGGGGGTCTTGCCCTTAGCCCCTGCCATGCTCCCTCCGCACCCCATTTGCCATTGTGGCTAAAGGCTCGTTCCCAGCTTCATAGCAGTCGTATGAAGAGACTGAAAAGTGCAAGGTCTCAGGTAACGCAGCAATAGGTGCCATGCGAACACCTTTTACTGCTTTGCACCTTTTGAGTAGCAGAGCAGGGACAGACTGGTTGGTTGGAGGAGGTCTGGACTCAGAGACTGTCACTGCTGTAGAGCTCTTCATAAATGATATGAAATTTGTTTTGGGGCAGTGGTTTATATTTTAAAAATATATGAAAACTGGGCATTTTTTTCCTGACATTGTAATATTTCTTTCAAACCAAATACCTAAAAGTTCTGGCAATGTCTACAACATCTGAGCTCCTTCATTTTATGGTATTTTCTTCTTAACATCCCATACATTTATGAGCTGATCTGGTTTTAGGTAATAAACTAGAAAAGTAGAACTATATAAAATGAATATTGAGGAGCTGAAACATCTGAACAATAAAAGTTTAAACTTTGGCAACTGAAAGTGATAAGTACCTTTTGAAAAGCTTCTTTCAAATCGTGTGTTTGATTTATATTCAATAGCTTTCTAGGTATATTAAGAAAAATATAGATCCATTTTTGGCATATGCTAAAGGTTAGTGGCAAATGTAAAAAAATGAGGGAACAAGGAAATATGGAGATAAACTCATGTTTATAGGAAGCACATTTAATGCTACTAGAATAGTTGCAGTTTTTGTATTTATATAGATTTTTTAAATGATGCATGTAAATTTATGTGGTTTTAATCCAATTATTATTAACTTTTCCTATTGTAACTTCACAAAAGTTAGTCAATGGATTCCTATCCTTCAAAAATAACATTGTGTTAAAAGATAAAATGAAACTCATATATAAAAGAGGAAGACAATTAACAATGAAACATTGCAAACAATCTATTAGTTTGGAAATTAAACTTATTTTTTATTGCAGTTATAAGTTGGTTTTCTTCCCATTTATGTAAAGTTGCAGCACGCAATGTCGCTTTCAGCACCATTTCAATCAACCTGTGTTTTGTGGTGCTTCAGCTAAAAGAGTTAGCATCGGCTCTACCAGGTGAAGGGAAGTTTACCTACAATTCACTGAGAGCAAGAAAGAGCTGCTGTAAGTTTAAGTTTATCCTCAAATTAAGGACTGGTAAACCCAAAGTTTTATGAAATGCTGTAAGAGGTTTCCACAGGAAGAGTGGAAGTAAACTGGATTTTTGGCTCATTAAAGCAGCTTATCAGTTGCATACATAAATCCTCTGCTTAAGATATGAGATTAAATATTGCCAGTGCTTTTATAAACTTTTCTTCTAAAATGGTATGAAAAGAAATATACTTTAAAAAAAAATCATTAGGACTGTTTAGCTTGTATTTAAAAAATATTAGCGTAAAGTTAAAAAGTTTGAACCAAAAAAGGCTGTACACTTAATTTGATAGTTTTGTTTCTTCCGGAGAGGACTTTCAGCCTCTTTTATTTTTATTCAGCCTTTCCCATTGTCATAGCCATAAATACACATATTTTGCTTTCACGATCAAAATCAAAGTTTTTCTATAGTGCCAAACAATTATCCATATAAAAAGAAAAAAATATGCTAACCTGACAACTCCAAATGTAAATATTTAACCTAAACTGATGCTAAAGATAGTTTGTTGATTTATGACTAGTTTACTTTTACATTTGGTGTCTATTTGGCATCCTAAGACTTTTAAAGAATGTTTTCTCCGTGAATAGGGTATAGAGATTTTTTTTTTTTAGCTGTGTTAAATGGCCTTAGGCCTACAAACTTACATCGAAACTGAAATTTACTCTTTGTAATCAAAGGAGACACTCATTTGGTTGAACATCAGTTTATGTCTCCGCTGGACCTGAATCCAGATAGCTGTTGATTGCAAAGAGAGAGCTTGTACAAAATTATGTTAAACTGGATATGGTTGTGGAAAATGTGGAAAGCTGGGTACAACTAAAACACGTATGTCATAGCAGCGAGGCAGAACATTAGAAATGAAGCTGTGATCTCTTACCCTCCAGATTTTGTAATTGTCTGCATACCAAATTTCCACAGTAGCCTGATTCACCTGAAGGAATTTAGCACAATTTGGGGTTCTCATGGTCTCTGTCAATTGTCTCTCTCTCCCTCTGAGGAGCCAAACACATGGTTAGTGCTTGCTGACTTCTGTATTATTGATAATACAGCAATACTGAACAGAGAGGTAATTTTCCTACGATTCAAACCCCATTGAATCAAAGGGGATTTTCTGAAGGAAAAAGGAATTTTGTTGCTATAAAAATCATAATTTCATTCCATGATCAATTTCATTCCAAACAAGATGAAAACAGAGAAATTTCTCCTGTTGAATATTCCAATTTGTATTTATTGATTAAAAAAATAAAGAGGAAAAAAAAGAGAAAGAGGAAGAAAGAAATGGTGTAAATTAAGTGCATATTTGGTAAGACGCTGAGCTTCCTCCAAAGAATAGTGCCATGGTGACTAGGACAGGAGGTGGTCAGTTCTGCCTTTGGTTAGACCCTGAACTGCTGTCTCTGCACTGCATCAAAGGACTGGAAATGAGGCATGAAATCCCGGTTGTACTGAACTGCAAAGCAGACTTCTAAGTTTTACCATTAATTTCAGAGAAACTAAGATTTCGTCTTATCTCTGCCTCAGCCTCTGCCTATGTCTGCGCAAACAGAGGCTTTTGCCAGCATAGATCCATTTTGCTGAGATAGTACCTCAGTATCCCCATACAACTAAGCTGTTCCCTGGCGTAAGAACAATGTACGATGCTGACTTACTTCTGCAGAAGTTTTGAGTCACCTTCTGAGAGGAAACAGGACATTGCCTGGCTGCTCTGAATATTTAACTTATTTAAGGAAAAGAGATGTTGCTGCTTTAGCTGGGAATTTGCAATTGATCCCATACATGTTAGGAAAATGTTCACTGCCAGCATTGGGATATCATTTCGTTGTTACAAATTTGGCATGATTTTCCACAAAACGCCATGCTTTCCAGTTCCAGTTGGAAGTTATGATGTATGTTAGAACTATACAGCCACTTGTTGCGAGATACAGCAAACCCCAGTTCTAGACTCATTAGACACCTTTTGGCAATCTTTGCTTTATAAGCAGAAATTATTCTTCCCTGTTTAATATATTTGTCCTTTGAGACTACATCTCCTGAAGTTTGTTTCCATTTTAACTGTGTACATTATTCGCAATAAGATTGTAAAAGGTATTTTATATTCTGCTTCACTTAGCTAGATGCAGTATTCAAAAGAAGCATGTTATATATCCGGAGAAACAGACTGTCTGCCCCAGAAGGATTCTTCTGTGGATTTGGTTTGGGCTTTTTAGTCAGGAACTTTATGTCCTGATACAGTAGCATAGGATGGGGTGTGTTTCTTCATGATTCACAACTTGCTGTGTGATTAAAATACGTTGCTAGGTACAACAGTGTCTCCTTTGTGCGTTCCCTTCATATAACACAAAATTAATATATGCTTCTGTTTCATGTGAAGTGATGCATTCAGGCAGTTCCCACATTCCTTTTACTTTGTATTGATTATTCCATGAATTTGTGCAAATTTACTGCTGTGAGAAGCTGCTCCTATCTATGGCAAGATAAAAAATACAGTTGTGTTAGTAGACCATACAGGAGTGTTGGGTTATTTTTCGTTTGTCTAATAAAGAATTGAACAAAATTACTTATTGTCTAATCCAGCAACAACACAAGCTATGAATAAGACTGCATACCTGAGTAGTTCTGTGGACTACTCAGATTTGTTAAAGTACACTTGCATAAATCTTTGTGCAGCTGTGACCTAGAATTCCTGTCTGACAAGCTGTTGTAATCCGGGTTCTCACTAAACCAAAGAGAAGTCTTGATTGTATTGGTTATTGTATAATGTTTGATTTGTCCACCTTGTTTTTTAAGGTATTAATGTACGTAAAAACACATACATTACTGTTTGAAATTGTAATTTTTTTTGTGTGTTTCCAATATAGAAGTGGAAATATAAAATTCAAATGGATCAAAATGTTGTGTTCTTTTTCTAAAGCTAATTTTTATTTTAAGTAGATAATCCTTTCCATTTAGAATAAAGCATTTTTATTTTAAATGGTTTTAATGGAAATATTTCAATGCACTTTAAAGGCTACATGACAATAACACAAGCAGTGGTGGATCACTGATTAGAAACTTATTAAACAAAAAAATTTCACATAAACTAATTAAGCTGGTTTTAAAAATCTGTAACTATTACAAGTGATTAGTTAAATTTATTGTGTGTAGGTTAGTGCATGTCCATAGAAAAAAGGAAACATTTCTTTCTAGTTTTACTTTGACGAGGTGCACGAGTTAATTTTCAGAAGAAAGAGGATTAAGTACAAACCTTTTGTGTCTCCAGCTTCACAGGTCTTAAATACCGTCTGCGAAATTGCTGAGAGGTATTCATGAGACAGAGGCTGCAAGCCACAGGACTCCTCTGGACGAATTAGAGAACCACAGTCCTGAATTAAAATGAAATCTGTGAAAATGACAGCACTGCACCCATCCATATAACTTTGAAATCTTCTTCAAGGACATTTAAAGAGGAAAAAGGTTATTTGGTGTTGGTTCTGCAATTCATTCATCCGTTGCTTTTCAATATATATTTTTAATACGAAATTTAGAACCCTTTTTCCATTCAGAAAATGGTTTTGTAATAAGTTATCCCAATCCACAGTTAATGTACAAGATACTACATTTGCTAAAAATATAAGAAAATTTATTAAAGCAAACATATATAACATTCATGTAATGTTATGTTGTCTCTACTTATCGTACAATCTCTACCTATGGCTATAAGCTCTTCAGAAGGGACAG